TCTGGTAMGAACTGATGCTCCTGGCACCTGAATGCATCAGCAACACAAATTTTGTGAAGACAAGATGATGGAAGGACTAAAATAATAGGCATTACATACCACCATCAGTGGCTCAGTTTAGGGAGAAAAAAAWTCCAGGGAGAAAAAAAACCTCAGGGAGTACAATTCCACTATCAACAAAAACTTTAAATTACTACTTCTTAGACCAGTTACCCAGTAGATTCCCTTAGTCARTTGTTCATTTTGGCTAGTATTTCCACACAGCAAGTGATATTTTAATATTAGGATGCTTTAGATGCAAAAAAATTATGGTTAGAGATTCAAACCATTTAAACTAATGAATGTATTGAGTAAAATAGTAACTTCATTTMGGTTGTTAATTTGGCTAGAGGGCTGGTATTTTATACACAGGATCATAGAATTGTTTGGGTTGACAGAATGTTAAAACTCACCTTGCTCAACTCCCCTGCCACTGGCTGGGACACCTCCTGCAAGATCAGGCTGATATAAGACCCATCCCACTTGGCCTTGAACATTTCTCCAGGGATGGGGCATCCACAGCTCTCCTGGGCAAYCTGTTTAAGGGCTTGACCACCCCTATAGGAAATAATTTCTTCCTATTATTTAATCTAAACCTACCTCCTATCAGTTGAAAGCCATCATCCCTTGTCACTACATGCCTTTAAAAAGTCCCTCACCAGCGCTTTTGCAGCTCCTTCAGTACTGGAAGACTGCTGAAATATCCAGCTGAAATGTATCCAATGTGTTTCTGTCCCTGTAGTTTTGTCTGTGAAATCAGAAATCATATTTGATCAGAAGCATGGAATTTTTCATGGTAAATTCACAAGGGCAGTTTAGTCCTTTGTTTGTACATTTGTTTTATTTTTTTTTTAGTTTACTCACACAAACTGTGTGTGCAATATTAAAAGAAACAATCAAAGATGACAAGTCATACGCGCAGATCTCAACTTTAAGTTGCTCTTTAACCTGTACAAATTGTAAGGAATCCCTAGAAAATGCAGAAAAACAAAGGCATTAATTGAAATTTATTAGTGTGATAACCATGAAGCCTCCTTATTTTATGCTTTATTATTAAAATATTTCTAAGTTTTAATATATTCTGGCCTATTATGAACAGTTTGAAGCCAAGAAAGTTTTCCCAGTAGTCATCACTCACTGCTGCAAAACAAGGTTACAAACAGGAATACTTTTTCTGAGGAAGTAGTCTCTATCAATACACCTCATATCCCAAGAAATAGCTCAAAATGGAGGAAACCTACACGGAGTACAGTGTGGCAAAAAATCCTGGACATCAGCTGCTATGACAGAATTACAAGTGCAATGTGTGTGAACAAAACATCTAAAACTGAGAGGGTGTTTGCTCAAAATCTGCTAACATTGTTTGAAAATGAAGACAACCATCAACCACATGAAATAATAATAGGCAGTTACCAAGAGACCTCAGGTGSGAAAGAAAATTAAGTTTAAAAATAAAACATAAAAAAGTCTAATTCTAAAAGTGAGAAAAATGCAGTGAAAATCTGGTGTGACACCAAGAAGGTGCCCCTGGCACCTCAAGCTCTGTGAAGGCCTGAGGGAACACCCTCCCCTGGCAGTGGACTGAGAGCACAGGGAGCAACAACATGGATCACTCCTGGGATGTCATCTTTGGGGTGCTGCCCCAACAGCTAGGGAGGATTGCTGGGTCATAGGAACAGCCCAGATGAGAATGCTCTGACAGCATCCACAACCCCTAAGAGGATGGATGCACGCAGGGTAACATAATCCTAGAAGGGTGGGCTCACACCACTGAAACCTCCTGTTAAAGGGACAGGGCTGAGCATTTACCTGCAAATTTGGGGGTGGGGTGTTGTTGCTGTAGGAGTGTGTTTAGGTGCATGAAGGTGTTTACGAAGCTTTTGTAAGGGTCTAGCAGTCATTCATCTGTTATWTAGCTGTTATTAATCCGGTATGGATTGTTCATGGACTAACAGTTAATTACAAGCTATCAATAAATCAACAGATCACTTGAATTCTAACTCCATTTAAGTAAGTCAGGAGTTGTTTTTCCCCTACAAGGAGAAAATGCACTCCTTCAGTATCTTCAACCTCACTTCGATATGAAGCCTTCAGCTAAACTTACCTATCTCAGGTTTTTATTTTTCTTCTTTATTCTCTTCATGCTTTTACTTCACCTGAGGGCACCCAAGATATGCAGGAAATCAAACCACTATCTACATAGGTCACATTTGCTTCAGCACTCAGACATATTCCAATTAAAGCACTACAGTAATTGCACTCCCCCAAAATAATGGCCCCAAAACATGGGCAAAAACAGATYACATTTTTGAAAAGTACATATTAAGTTTCTGGGTTAGACAAATGAAAATTTAAGATGTTTGACATAGACTAGCTTTCTAAAATATGGCTTCTTAAACCACATACCACAATGTATTTAATCCCTGAGATCATGTTTTTGCTTCAGGAAAATTCCAGTTAAACATCATATGAAAGCTTGGTTTCTCCCCCTGCAACTGAAGGTTTCTCAATTTTTCTAGAAAACATTCAAAGAGTGTCATTCATATTTCTTTTTTAAATAAAGAAATGTAGCTTAGTTTTGTATGGTTCACTTCTGTACTTTGGCTGATGACATTTTTACAAATTAGAGGTAATGAAGAATCCTCTCTCATGTTTCAACTTCACAAATTCTCGGCCTTGAAAGTATAGGATCTCATTCCCTTATCCTAAACAGACTTGAATAAAACTATATATTGACAGATCTTGTAATCAAAGACAGAGAGCAAGCATACTCAGTGATCTGTGACTCAAACCCTAAAATAAAAATACTCATGCTCATTAAGTGCAACCATGCCTCTTCTAAACTTATTTTTATTTATGGGCTCCTAGCTTTTGATTATTCCCAATAATTATCTCCTTGAATTACTTCTCATTCTATAATCAGGAGAAAAATATTCTGTGTTATGCATAGATTTTAAATTAACTAAGTTTACAAGAGACATTATGTTACCTTCACAACTTTTTACAAGTTTTTCTTTCTTTTCTGCAAAAGCTGACTCAGCATGCACTCAAAGCATTAAGCTAGCAACTGGCAACCACATTCTTCATTAGAATTTTAGAAAGCCATAAAGACTTATATCTGAAAAAGAATTAAAATGAAACAGCCTTGTGACAAAAACATCTGTTCATAGTAAACTGTTTTCAAAGTTATTCAAGCAGCTAGTAGAAACCAGAGTAACCTAGAATTCCAAGAAGTACTACAGAAAAAAAAAAAGGTAATTGCAGTTAAAAACCCACACAAAAGGCAGTTTTGGAAATGAACACCTTGCCTGCCTGTTACATGTCCTCTAATTCCAACCCACACTGCTCCAAYGCCATATTTATTACTTCTTACTCTCCAGCCCTTTTCCAAATTCATGGAATATCTACACCCTTTTTTTCCCCCCAACTGCCAGGAGGAAAACTACTCATCTTTTCTCCCTGTTCAGAAGGTATGTTTCCCACTATCAGAACACTTTATTTATGCATGACATCTATGAAATATGAAATCAAAGAACTGGAAAGYCTTCCTTTTCTCCATAACTTAATACTTCAAAGGAGCACAGTAGGAGCACTTCTCCAATTAACATTTACCCAGCACATTTCACCTCCTCATTCCCTTAACATGTCTGAGTCACAGCCACCAGCTCAAGTGACTGGAAATTAACCTACTAAAGCAATGATTTATACAGTTTCATTAATTTGACACATAACTTCACAGAAACATACATCTGGGAAACCAGAGATTCCTCCAGAAACAAAGGAATTCTACCAGAGAAGAGCTGTAGAGACGGTGTATCTTGTATTGAGTTCACTGATGTAATGTTCTTTAAAAAGCCTTTCACAGAACCTCTTGTTTAGAGGGCTTTAAAGGTTATCAGACCACTTCGAGTCTCTTCCTCTTTTTTCCAGGAGCACTACTATTCTTTTCTAAGAAAAGGAAACATGAACTCATTCCCTAAACCAATTATAGTTTAGGCTTGTTAGCAAAACCAGGACAGAATATTTCTGYCCTTCTTCTCATGACCCTTTTGACTTCTCTGCCCATTTCTTATTCAAAGTCAAAGCTGGGTAGATAAAATAACCTCCCAATCAGGACCTTACTGATGGGAAGGCTTCTCCCTACCTGGCCTATAGGGTTTGTGCCACACACAAGTTCTGTCAAACTCCACCTGCTGGATAATCTTAAAAAAGCCTAGAAAAAACACTTTAAAAGGCTTTTGTTCCACCAGTATTGATATRCAACTCAGACACTATGAAAAAACTTCTTGAACTGTATATTTTGTTATTTGTCATCCTTTTTGTTTCTCCCCATCTCCATGAATGCTACAATCAAGCAGAATCTCTGGGCAGATATTTTTTTCTAAATTTCTCATATTACTRGTGATACTTGTAAATAATATCAATTTCTGGTAATGCAGTTATAGACAGAAAAAGTCATAGCTCCATGGCACATCTAAGGAGAAAATTACACTTCTTGCTTTTTAGCCTCTGACATAGAAAAGTGGCAAATAACATGKAAATGTAATTTAGAACTAATATGTAGATAAAAGTATCACTTCATTATTCAAATCTCAAAYAKTACTTGCAGTAACATTTTACCCATWCCTTCCAACCTATAAAAACCTATATARTTTCTATCTTTGTATTTGCTGGTAGTTTCTCTTATAGGATKTCTCATAAATATACCTGCCACCATTCTTTACTTTTATAACCACTATTCTTTATTATGATCTACTGTCCTTGAGAAGTAATTCAAAAATACACTCAAGACATAAACCATACCTGGAGCAGCCTGTGATACCGAAATGCTGGAACACGCATTACTTTTGAAAATAGTAATTTAACCAAAGGTTAAGTTACTCTCTCAAAGACTTGAGAGAGTGAACTAATCAAATATTTATCTAGAAACAAAAAGTTAACACCATTTCACAGAGCTGATGCCGTGGCACAGTAAAAAAAATTCCTACTGCRTGTACTTTATTATAATTTCAGGATGTCATCACTAAATAAGCACAAGTGAAGACTGTCTGCAATTAAAAGTTTTACAGACGTTTCAAGACCATCATTATTTCTGGTGAACTATTTTTTTCCTTTTTTAAGAAGTCCTTCTATTTTTGCCAGATCTCCAAATGAAACTGTTGCAGAACCTCTCTGGGCTGGTTTTGCCTAAGGAAAAAAAAAAGAAAATAATACATATAGGGCTAACTTTAAAGTAAGATATTTTGTTAAAAGCTTTTAAAACATCACTTATTTAAAAAGTACCTTCAAAAAGAAAACAACAGCTTCACATTACCTGTGATTCATGGTATTTCCAGCCAATCATGTAGTAGATCTGAAAGGTGGCAGGTACTGARCCATCGCTGTTCCCGTACATTTCTGTGAGGGCAGGAAGGGAGAGAGAAAAGGTACAGGCAGTCAGTTCTACGAAACACTCAGTTCTCAGAACATCAGAACTAAGTGTGACATATTCATCATAATGACGCCTGGTGAAAGATTTGGGACAATAAAAATATCTCATACCGGTGCATCAATATAGCTCAAATCCTGGCATTATAATTAAGGTTAAAAATAGCCTATGATAATGGTATTTTATTCTATTCCGAAGTGTTTGGAGTTTTTGGTTTTGCTTTGCTTCAGTTTCTGGGGTTTTTTTTTTTTTTTACACAAAGGTCATAGAAAAAGATACAGAAAGAATATTCTTAAAGTCATTTCAGATTAACTCATTACCTCTCAAATACTGACCTTGGTATATTGCAGCAGCTGCCAGCATTGTCTCCCTGTGYAGCAGAGGTTTTCTATTCCAAGAGCAATTACTCTCCCCCATACCTAAAAATATGTTTTAGCTTTAAGAAAGAGAAGATATAGCACATGGCATGAGTTAAGTGTCATGCACTAAGGACAGATTCTTACTAAACCAAAGTGCAGAATCCTCTGCACTTCACTGTAAGAGAGAACACAGCACGAATCATTAGGTCAGTTTCTTATGTGTAAGAATCCAAAACTTTTAATTCCTMTGCTTTGCAATTWACAGTTTGCTTTGCTAGRAATMATTTCAAATTATTAMTTCTTCAGCCTGAGTCTTCAAGCATTTAGGCTTTTAAGTATAACAATTTAAAGAATGAGTACAAAGGGTTATTCAGACACATTACCATAATTTTTAACAGATAATCATTAAAATTACTATCCCAAGAGATTTAAAATACAAAATAAAATAACCACAGTTCTAATCTCTTTAATCACTTACTGCATCTGAAYGTTTCTGCTGAGAATAAAAGTTGCCTTTCCATTAAGGAATTACTCCAAACAGCAATCGATCCCATTAAGAAATGCCCTGAGTTGCTGTCAGTAACAACAGATTGCACGTGAATGACTGCTTTACAACCCAACACAAATGCAATCAGAATATTAACAAAATTGTTACTCAGTCATTTACTATTCCTCAGCAGACTCCAAACTAAGGATATACTTATTCTCATTCCAAAGCAGTTTGCTGAATGCCCTGGTAATTAGAAAGGCTCACAGAAAAAGTCAATGTGTGGGATACAAGCTTTTGTCTCCCTTTAAGCGCCTCTCTGCACCTAACACTGAACAGGCTCACACAGAATAGGAACCCCAGGGAAGCAGACCATTCACAGCAGACCACAAAGTAGCAAATCTTTGACTTGTGCCTCCCAACACATATCTCCTGACAAGYATTATCTCCTGACTCATTARATAGCAGGAAAAAGATGTTTCTCCYATTGCRATAAAATCTATTCGCATWTTTTTRAGAMGGAAATTTTTTGTGAAGRTGGTSAAAGACTGGCTCAGATTGCTCAGAGAGGTGGTGGATGCCCCACASCAGAAAACATTCAAGACCAGGTCAGATGGAGSTCTGAGCAACCTGATCTAGTTCAAGATGTCCCTACTCACTGCAGGGGAGTTGAACTAGATGGCCTTTAAACGTTCTTTCCAACCCACATGATTCTATGATTTGAAGTTAAAAAACACACAGTAAAACTCTTCTGTGTCTGCACCGCTGATATAGAAAACATTTATGTTTCCACAAAGAATATACTTGCCTTGCAAGTCTTCCATAACCTCAAACAACCCTGGGTAGTTGACTTGGATTTCATCAGTATCCTAAAAGAATTGAGAAGCTCAGTTTTAGAACACATCAAGCTAAAACAATAGGATTATGTCAACCTTCAGTTTGTTGTACTAACAAACTATTCCCTGCCCATGGCAGGAGAATTGGAACTAGATGATTTTACAGTCCCTTTACTAAAATTTTATGATTCTATCCACCTGCCTCTTCTGCTCAAATCATTAATTTCTAAGAAGAATGTACTGTTTCAACATTTTTTAAAAGTTTTGCTTAGTACCCCAAATGCAATGAAATTTTAATCTAAATGGCATTATTTTCTTCCTGGGTTTAGAAGAAAGAGTGAGTGTCTAAAGTTTTTTCATGCAGGTCTAATGTTCTCTGACATTTCTCCAAGAAGACCATCCAAATTCTACTGGGCCAGGGKCCAAAGATACACTTCAGTTGGTTCCATTAATCACCACAAAGCCAGAACCAGTGGCAGTCCAAGCTATTTCAGCAGCCTGTTCAGTGAGGTACACCACAGGCAGAARGAAGCAGTATGTTTTTAATACATTAGTAAAGAGTGATTTTTATATTCCAGCAGCTCTGACATTCTGGATTGTTCTGCCTGATTGCTCTCCTATTTATAATTACCACAGTCAGGGTGTTAAAGCCAGCCCTGGAGAGCAGATGTCCCAAATCRGCGACGGCAGTGAAGGGTGACACGTGAGGAGAGAAGCCCCCTTCCCTCTCCAGCTCCGCCAGCTGGAGAGAGCAGCGCAGCTCGTACAGAGTGTCCCCCCCAAACATGGCTCCAACAAACACTCCATCYGGCTTCAGAACCTGGTGGATCTACGACACAGAAACACACAGTTCATAGGGGTTTTATGTTAGGCCTGCATAACCAAGTGGTTCTTAGATGTTTTTTTCTTAATGAACTCAAAAGCAATCATTATGAGAGCTGTAACAGACTTTTAATATTGACTGCATTCTGCACAGCAAGCTGTGTCACAGCTTCTGGTAGCACTGCAAACAATTTCTATTTTTAAGAAAGAGTGAATCCTCAGAAAACACACTTAGAGTCAGGAAATACAGAACAAACTGTGGAAATTTAGGGTAAAACTATTTTCAGCAGAATACTCCTAAAACAATATTCTCAATTAATTTATTTCTATAAATAGGGTAGATTAAGATAARTATGCTGCTTACTTTTATTTTCTGGAGAGCAGCAGAAGCACTTTTTAATATCTTGATTTAAGAGAAATGGAGGCCTGAGGTTCCAGTAGTGATCTCTGTACTTCTGAGACAATAGAGTAATGCAATTTTCATTATGTCTACCATTACTTATTATTAACTTGCCAGAATAGCAATATCATAACTCAAACACCAAGGCTGACAAGCTGCTTTCTTGTCTCCTAAGTCCTAGCCTCCTTCCTAGTSAGAAGGCAAATAAATTCATGTTTTCTTTTTAACTTGGAAATGATCTCTGGTTTAGGCATCCAGAAGAGCCTGATTACATAATCAGGCTAACAAGACAGCAAAAGCTTATAACACTTTTGAAACACAAAAATTTTCAAAGTTTTTAACTGAAGTATTAATCAAGCTACCATTCTTCTGCTAGTACAAAAAGCCTTTAATCAAAACATGACACAGTTAAAGGCAGTTTCCATGAGTTAAAGACAGTGGTACCAACMCAAGGAATTACAAAAGCTGGGCAAGAAAYTCAGKTCCCTCCCCATTGTGAGACAGTGTYAGTTATATCAACTGTGGGATAAATTATCTGACACTCTACAGAACACTTAAATTCAAGTGAAAACTGTATATTTCTTTCCAAGTATTTTTTATAARTACTGAAGGCATTTCAAGTGGTTTTTATTATTTTGGTAACAGTAGGTAGTCCTATTCCTACCAATACATGATAGAACTACACTGCAGTGACTGATCACTTTGAAATAAATTAAAAAAATAACACGCTGGTTAAAGTGTTCCTTGTTCTTGCTCCATGTTTTTGATTTGACTACAGTTTACACCTGCAAGAAAGAGCTGAACTAATGCAAAATAACCAACACTGGAAAAAAAAAATTCTGTCCACCACAAGTATTTGCATATCTTCAAAAAAAAAAAAAAGTCTTGATGAAAGCTGCATTTCAAAATAAACAGCTGAGACATAAAAATAACTCAAGCTCCATAAAGCAATTCTGGAGAAGTGCAGTATTGTACTACAAGTAGTAAGAGCTAACAATAAAAATCAACAGCATTGCCTCAGGTGACAATAGTCACTATGACCTCAGCGGGGAGAATACAATRTATTATACAAACATGCTGTTTCACTTATTTATTCTAAACTGATTTGAGGGAGCAAATTAGTAGCAATATCAACTGATTAAAAAGTACTGCAAAAATACTTGTGWGCAATGTGAGTTATTTCTGTGCCTCTTATTTAAAGAAGACCTGGAAATACAGAGTGCCCTCAATGCAAGTCATGGCAAGTGCTGACTTACCGTATTAAAAACCAATTTCTTACCTCTCTAAAAGCTTTAGGAAGGTCATTCACCCAATGTAAACTGAAATACAGAARTGTATATTTTATAATCTCATATTAAATCAAATTTAATGAATGCAGGTAACTATTTAATTAACTAAGTACATTTTGGGAGCCAAAGCCACCAACTGGTTTCTCAAGCCACAACTGTGCTGAAATACCAGCTTAAAAGTGATACTATGACATCCATACACATAGCGCTTTATTTTTTTCTTTCTTGCTTTGCTAATTTGAGAAAATGCAAGTCCTGGAGMCTGGTTTGTCAAAATGCAGGAAAAAGAGAAGCTACAAGTGTTTTGAAGGAAAATAAACAAAATGGAAAGAATCACCAGGACAGCAGTTTTTCCTAATACATAGGAAAAACATATGCATCATATTAACTATACAAGTACACTTCTTACTGCTTTAATTGGACTAGTAATCTTCGTTGCATTTATTTTCTTAAAGCTCTCTTAAAAGAATATTGTGAACAACTTAAAGCAAAATAAGAATTTTTTAAATACATACCTTAAGCTGCTAACAACAAGATCAAAAGTATCTTCTTTGAAAGGAAGGAATTCCTCATCAGCTACAACCCTGACCGTAGGGATTTCAGATTCTGTAGYGTTTTTCTAATGTTGGATTAGAAGAAAAATAACTTATCAGAAACTCACTTCTTTTGCTTTCCTGTATTAAAGAATTGAATCACTTTAGCATTCAAAAAGCTACTTACTAAAGCATTCTCTGCGATATCAACCTGAACAAGTTTTCCAACTGTTTCCTGAAATAAAATTTTAAAAATTCTWTTTGTAAATAGACATAAGAAATTTTTTTGGCACTTGCACCTATTTATAACAAGTTAGAAAGAGTCTTTTCAACTCTTGATGAAARCTTTATATAAAGAAGAAAGCATTTCTTCCCACCCAACATGGTGCCTGCTCCTAGGGAGAATGGCTGAGACAGAAGTACTGACAGAAAACCYGTCCTATAATTTTAGGCATGAGTTTAGTTAAATGTAAACCATAGATTGACAGCCAAGGAAGAACCTTTACTTACAGTGTGGTTCATGAAGAATAAACTGTTAATGGCTTCAAAGTCTCCATAAAACACTTCTCTTTAACAACTAACTGTGACCAATAGATTCACCAAAACACAAGCACATTCCCACTCAAAACTCAAAGTTAACTGTTATAAAACAGATAACTTCCCTTGCACTAACATATGTCAGGTTTTCAGCAGCAATAAATTAAAAATAGCCTGCATGACACACAGCTTTGAACTATAACTACAGGTATGGGGGTAGACAGAAGATTTACCTCATCAAGACTCAGAGGATTGCTTTACGTTGTAAAAGAGCCCTATTTGAAATGCAGGGACACATATGAAGTTCCTTTAAATACTTTTGAGTATGAAGAGCCAGTACCTTGGTTAAGTGCTGAGCTATGAAACCTCTTCCAGAGCCAACATCCAAAGCGAGAGGAAATGTTCTAAAGGATGAGATTGGCAACACAGAGGATAACCAAGTCTTAAGTATTTTTAATTTTAGATTATATTAAGTTTCACCTGCTAAGCTCTAAGGGTTTCATTGAATTCAGCCCATCGAGCATCYTTCTGGGAAAGGCGCTCAGGGATGATGGGACAGTGCAGGACACAGCAGGGCTCACCTGGTGATGTCAAACACCCTGTCCGCGATCCTGCCGCCGACCTGGGGGGAGAGCCGAGGTCAGAATCACAGGATCAATGAGGCTGGAAAAGACTWYTGAGATCATTAAGGCCAATCTATGAGTAAACACCACCTTGTCAACYACAACAYGGCACCGAGTGCCACGTCCAGTCTTTCCTTAAACACCTCCAGRGACTGTRACTCCATCAYCWCCCCRGGCAGCCTAKTCSACTGTCTAATCACCCCTTCTATGAAGAAAYTGYTAATGCCCAACCTAAAYTTCCCCAGGCTCAGCTTGAGACTATGTCCTCTTATTCTGTCGCTGGTTGCCCGAGAGAAGAGACCCACCCTCGCCTGGCTACCACCCTCCGGTCAGGGAACTGTAAAAGCGATAAGGCCACCCCTGAGTCTCCTTTTCTCCAGGCTAAACACCCCCGGCTCCCTCAGATGACTTATGCTCCAGCCCCTTCACCAGCCCCGCTGCCCCTCTGTGCACCCGCTCCAGCTCCTCAATATCCTCCCTGAACTGAGGGGYCCAGAACAGGACACAGCACTCGAGCTGACCCGCCGAGCCCCCGGCCTCACACCTCCTCCCGCAGGTAATCGCACTTGGCGGGCTCGGCCTGCAGCGCCGCCCAATTCTTCTGCTTCCGCTTCAGCCGGCGGTCGAAGGGGTTTAGCGCGCCCGAGCCCGGCGAGCTGCCGGTGGGAGGAGAAGGCGAAGCGGTGGTGGTGGCGGTCCGAGCCGGCAGCGCCCAGAGCCCGCGGCACCATCGCGCCCTCAGCGCCGGACGGGCCAGGCCCCTCATCCGCTCGGCCCTAAGAGCGCCTTTCTGCGCATGAGCCGCGAGGGCTGCGGAGGTGTGTCCCGCCGCGGCCGCCGTAGCGCCGCCGGAAGGGGCGGGGCGGTAGTGGCGGGGCGGTAGTGGCGCGGTGGTGGTGGCGTGCAGCGTGCGGGCAGCGCCGTGAGGGAGCGGCGGGCACCGGGCACGGTCAGTGTGAGGGGGGATTCCTCTGAGCTCCTCCCTGCGGGGATCGACCGAGACGGCGCACCGTGTGCTGCTGGTGGGCACCGGGCTAAGCTCCGCCGCAGGTSCTGGGTGTGGGACTGGTGGGGGTCACGGAGGGATGTGTCTGCAGCCGAGGGGAMTCCGTTATCGTAGAACCACAGAATGGCYTGTGYTGGAAGGGATCTTGAACAYTATCTCGTTCGAAATTCKCTCCCACSGGCAGGAGCGCCTTCCAGCAGACCAGATTGCTCAGGGCTCCATCCAGCCTGGCCTTGAACGCTTCCAKGGWTGAGATACCCACARCTTCTCTGGGCAACCTGTGYCWGKGTCTCACCASCCTCACAGTGAWWTTTTTTTTCCTCATATCTAATCTAAAYCTGCCTTCTGTTAGTTTGRAGCCRTTCTTCTTTTCCTGTCACTCCAGGCCCTTGTAAAAAGTCCCTCTCAGTCCTTCTTGYAGGCTCCCTTCAGGAACTAGAATGCCACAGGTAGGTTTCCTGATGCCTTYTCTTCTCCAAGCTGAACAATTCCAGTTCTCTCAGCCTTTTCTTGTAGATGAGCTCCATCCCTCTGATTATCTTKGTGGTCWCTGAACTTGCTCCAACACCTCCATGCYCTTCCTRTGCTGCRCCCCAGAGCTGGACRCTGCACTTTAGGTGGSCTCTCACCTGAGCAGAGGGGCAGAATCCCCTCCCTCACCTGCTGCCTGTGAAGCTTTGGATGCAGCCCRGGGCACAGAGGGTTTCTGTGCCACCACAGCTGATAAAGCAAGGATTTGTGGCTGAGACAGTGGTAGATACAGGATTATTTGTGACTTGTTGAAAWTTGCTGCTGCAGCAAAGGGTTTCATCAACTAGACATCACCAGCAGAGATAAGTCATTATCCCACTTGGTGCTTGTCAGGTCACAACTGGAATTCTGTGTTCAGATTTGGTCCCTGCCATACAAAAAAGATGTGGCCAGACTGGAGAGGGTCAGAGAAGGGCCACAAGGATGACCAAAGGACTGGGAAGCTGCCATGTGAGGAAAGGCTGAGAGAGCTGGATTTGTTTTTATCTTGAGGATAGAAGACTCAGTGGAGACATTATTGCCACAAAACAGCATTTGAAAAGTGGTTGCAGAGAACATGGAGACTCTATTTTTACATGGGATCACAATCAAAAGACAAAGGGTAATAAATACAAGTTATTCCTGGGAGATTCTGTGTAGACACAAGAGGAAAATTTTCCTCAATGAGAACGTTCAGCCATTGGAATGATCTCACCCGGGAAGAGGTGGGTTCCTGCTTACAAGATTTGGCCAATGGAGTGCTGGRCCATCTTCCATATACCATGCTTTTGCTACGAAGTGTTGGGCCAGGTCATCCTTGAGGTCCCTTCCAACCAGGTGGCCTGTGATGCTGTGGAATTGCTATATGTGCTTTTGGAAAGAATTTTTTAAGGACAGGTTAAAAATCCTACTTTATTTAATCCTTGCTTTTTCAGTTACATATCTAAACCTGGGTTAATTGGTTGAGGTTTTTTTAGCAGAAATGTCTGGGTTTTTCCATATTGTAGATGTCCAAGTCTTCAACRGCACCAAAAATGTCATCCCAAGAGGAAATCCTGAGCGATGGCCGGTTCAGCTGCATCGCAAGGGATCCCAGGTTTTGGGAGATGCCTGAAAAGGAACGTAAAGTCAAGATTGACAAGCGATTCCGAGCGATGTTTCATGACAAGAAATTCAAGCTGAGATACACAGTGGATAAAAGAGGTCGCCCTGTTAACTATACCTCCACAGAGAACCTCAAGAAGTTTTATGCYTTGTCAGAATCTGACTCTGATCTTTCAGAAAGTGACAGTAAAGAACTCACTGTAAAGAAAAAAAAGAAAAAGAAAGTTAAAGGCAAAGGAGAAGCAGATTCTGTAAAGACCGTTGCAGGTGGCCTTCCAAAGGAGGAGAGCAAAAAAAATAAGCAAGGAGTGGACCAAACATGTGAAGCGGTGACRAAACTAAATGACCTTAAAAAAGGACAAAAGAGTAAATCTAAGTTCAGCATGAAAGAGGACTCACAGAAAACTGCTGTAGAAGTTGATCACTCTCAGGGAACGAAGGGCCTTTTACCCAAAGGGGAAAACAAGGAAGAAGTTGTGTCAGGGGAAAGTTCCATTTCAATTCAAAGCAAGGAAAAGACTTCACAAGTAAATGGTGCTAAGTCAGTCAAAGCTCCCAGGAGGGACCACTCCCTAGGAGGGAAAATAAAAGAATCAGGTGAGTTGTTCAAATAAGAATTCATTTGTGTTTATTTCAATGTTGTTTCTTTTGGTTTGTCCATGGAAAATATTTTGCAAGATTACTTATAAAATAGCTGACTGACTCAGATTCAGTGCTGCTGAAGGATTGGAGTTGGTCAGCTCTGTATAGAATCAGTTGTCATTCTTCAGTGAGATTATGAACATCCCTGTTCAGCCTTTAATTGTTGGAGCTGAAATCGTTGGTTAGTTAGGAAACTAAAATTTATAACAGCATATACACTGCTTTACTATCAAACTGAATGGCAAAAGCAGATATATGAGCTGATACCATGAGGGCACATCACAGCTTGTGGACTGAAGGTGTAAAGGTGGCAGCATTGAGCCATTAATATTAGAGGGGATTAGAGAGAACAGTAGCTTGAAAAACTTTGCTTATATTGCTTRTGCATGTGTATAGTCTCCATTATTAAAATTGTTTTCTTCCTATTGGTTCTGTGATATAAATAAAATAGCAGAATATTCATTGCAGTTAAGATTGATCAATTCTAGGCCTAAAGAATGCTTAAATTAGATTAGACCAGACTAGACAAACAAAAGAGGCAACACTGATATTTTCTGTTACTTTTTCCTGCACTGTTACACTTTTCAGGAATTCTGTAAAAGGGTATGAAAGAAACCTGAAGTTTTYGTTTTTGTAAAGGGTCATGTGTAATGGCAATGTAAAAAATGACATCTAATGTTTTTCTTTCTGTGCTCAGACATCTCTGATCAAAGTGTAAAAAGTAAAAGCCAATTAGAGGAAGAAACTTCTGCAAGTGAGGAGGCRGAATCAGAAGAGGAATCAGACAATGGTGAAGAAACAGGTGAGGAAGAGGAGCCAGAAGACGATGGGGAAATGATGGGTGAAGATGACAGTGATTCAGAAGATGATGAAGAAAGTGACAGTGGGCCTGATCTAGCCAGAGGCATAGGGAACATTGAAACSAGCTCAGATGATGATGAGGATTTAAACGAGCTGTTTCCAAAGGAGCCAGAGATCGAGCATTCATGGCGTGAGCTGGATAAAGATGCCCCTCGTGGAGATGAGGTAACAGTATTTTGCATATTTTCACATTAGAGAAAAGTTGCTACATGACAAACTCAGAAATCGTGTGAATTCACTATAGAACATTGGTGGAAAATTTTGTGGAAGTGTTTTTCATAAAGTTTCTTCAGCCTTTTAGTGACAGAATGGATGTGATGATGAAAGTGTCTGACAATGAGAGAGTTGCAGTTTTCACTGGATTCACTCCTCTTCCCCCTAAGCAGATTTACCTATACCAATAGATCAGTTGTCTACAAGTGAAAGGGCAAACAAAATTGAGCCTTTCAGAAATTCCAGAATTTAAATAGTACTGCTATTGTTCGCTACTGATTTTTTTTTACTTTTTAAAAGTTTAATTACTTAATTTGTGCTTTAAGAAATTAAGGCATTATTAGACAATGAAATAGGACTTTACTACTAACACAATCGGTGTATAAGAAATCCCAGTACTCTGGTRCTGTCACACAGAGTGATAGTAGTCGTTACTGTGATTAACAGTGTTTGATGATAACAAAATCCTAAGTGAGGATGTTGTCACTGCAGTTTAAATCTGTGACTGGTGTGGTCCATTCTGTGGTGCATCACTATTTTTGTCCTTTTCATGTGCTCAGTAATTGCTGCTTCTGAGCTTTGCTGGTTCAACTGATTAAAAAGTCATGAGGACAATGACACTTTTATTTTCTAGAGAACTGTGTATTCCCCACAACAGTCAAGAATTAAACCTATGAACTTTTTGTTTTTTGGTTTTTTTTTTCAGATTACAAGCAGATTGGCAGTTTGTAATATGGAYTGGGATAGGTTGAAGGCTAAGGATTTGCTGGCTCTGTTTAATTCTTTCACACCCAAAGGTGGAACAGTGTTTTCTGTTAAGGTAAGACCTGATTTGTGAAGGGAGTACAAACTTTTTGTGGTGGAAAAAAATTGACAACAGAAAAAGAAGCAAGATAGTTCTGTTGCCAACCAAAAGAGATATTAAATTGCTAAAAGAGAAACTGTGTTGCAATTTAACTTTCTATGTTAGAAACTTGCTGTTTTTCAGTAAGGGCATGTATTTGACTTCTCACGTTTATGAGGCTGGCCCTCAGCGCTGGTTTTCTGACACTGATAGTGAAGTTCTCTGTTCTAGTAGGAGGAGACTATTTCCTAGATTAGTTTGATTTTCAGTGGTCTTTGTGACAGATAACCCAACCTTAGACCTATTTCTAAATGCATTTCAACCCCTTTTACCACTKCACAGCACATTTTTCACCACTTTTAAATAAGTTATATTGGTAATTATTAGTGTTTGCCGCAGCTCTCGGAGAAATTTTAATCAGATGCCTTTTTCTGAAAAGTGCTACAGTAGAATGAGCAAAGTCAGGGTTCTTGTTGTTCTTCATCTGTCTCAAAACTCCTAGCAGGCAGTTTGGTTATTCTACTGTCTTTTCCATACATTAAAATTAGCAAAGTATWAAAGTTTATGGAATTGATCCCTTAACTGATTGAAAATAAAAMCTGTAATGTCTAAAAGCCTGAAGAGAKATTTTTTCTTARTGTACATTATGTCACAGTGAAAAAAWTTAGTTTTGTGTTCTTGTACTTGTAGATTTATCCTTCGGAATTTGGAAAAGAGAGATTGAAAGAGGAAGAACAAAAAGGACCTGTGGAACTGTTTGATCTTCCAGAGAATACCACAGAGGATGATGGGTATTAATTTTAATTTTGTCTTCAAATGAAAATATAATATGTTTAATTCTTAAATCTCTATCCACTCCTGTTTCCAGGAGTTCAAATGTGGAAGTCTCCTGTGGACACATCTTTTTTTTTTCATTTTTTTTTCAAGGATTCGTTTACAATGGRGACTGATTCATTATCAGTGCATTTAATAAATGCATTATGATGATGAAACTTGAGAAGATTTGCTTTTTGATGTGAATTCAAAATTTTATGATGTAGCCCACTGGAATAATCAGAGGAACAGATGCATGGGGAGCTTTACACAGCCTTTTTCCTCTGCAAATTGCCATTTGTTCAGTAAACTCYCTTTGGTGCTCACTGTCAAAATTCTTATGTGTGAATCAACAGGGACCTTAACATAGTCCAAGAATTCCCAGATTGAGATTTCTTAAGTGCCACCAGCAGCAGCCCTGGCTTACTAGGCTGAGCTCCTCAGTCCTGCCATTCTCCTGGCTTCTTTAGGCATGGGGTTTTTTTGCCTTTTAAAAATTTTGTTAAAGGTTTTGCTTTGATATTTTTTCAGAATTTCCAGATGTTTGGCAGCCTGACTGGAGCCATATTTRTATAATATGTCCTGCTAGACTGGCCTGTATTTAGGAAATCTGGATGCTTCTAAAATAAGGGCAGATCCCTTTGAAGACTTTCTCTAGTGCATCAGGGGAGTTTAAGATGGATGTTAGAGCACATTTTGAGGTCATCTTCWCTGTGTGCAAGGTGCATTCTGAAGTGTTGGATTTACTGCTCAGCGGGCTTGTAAGAATCTGGAGCAAACAGATTCGAGGTATCCCAGAGGTACCTCAGTGATACCTGTGGGTGTGCCCTTTAGATTCACAGAACCTCATCCCTGTGATCTTTCAGCAGTCATATACAAATTGTACACTTAATAAAACTGCAAATAGTCTTTTAACTTGGGGGAAACAGAACTTTGTGCTGTTTACATCTAATCTTATAAGATATGGGGAGTGTTTGGTTGGTGCATGTTTTTAATGAGTTGAATTAAAATTCTTAGCAAATAAAATGGTGTTGAAGCCAGCTCATGTGACTGTGGTCTTTTCTCCACTTTTGCAGGATTTATAGGGAAAAACTGCGGGAATACCAGTTTAAGCGACTGAAATACTTCTATGCAGTTGTAGAATGTGATTCTCCTGAAACAGCCAATAAAATTTATGAGGAATGTGATGGACTGGAATTTGAAAGTAGCTGTTCTTTCATAGACCTGAGGTAAATCCACTGGTGATATGTTAACATGTTGGGTCAGGGAGGGTGAATTAAAGGCTATTTATAATTGGAGTAAAAACTGTACTGACTTTATTCTGYAACCAGAATGAGAAACGAAGATAAGTTGGGCATCCAGTGAGTTACCAGGTTTTCCTTTGTTTTTTTCTGACCATTTTTATAGTAATATGGGAAGTCTGAGAGGATCTCTGCATAGAGAGATTATTTTCAGAAAAGCCAGATAAAATATTCTAATTATATCTTCAAGCTTTTGGTACAATTAAATTAAATTATAGGATTCAGAAAACAACACACTATTTTTCTTCTTCTCTTCTCTTTCCCCAAGGGTCCAGAAGTAGATCTTTTTCAGGATTCCTTACCACAGGGCAAGATTATTGCTGCTGTTGTCAAGAAGCTGCAATAGATATGTGRGCCCTTGTGAATGAGCTGGATGCTCTAATATTTCAAAAGTTATGTTTGGGGAAGAAAGGATTTTAAATTATGGTTTGCTTTATTGTTCATATTTTCTTTTGTTGCAAAAAACTCTTTGAGTCTGAGYAGGAAAGTTACTAAACCATGAAAAGTTGTGACAGAAGCCCTGTTTTTCTGCTGGGGCCTCTTGGAAGTCAGTGAAAGTTTAAATTTTCTTGCTTTGAATAGTTTTCTAGAGGAACTGAGTTAATTTGCTTTGAACCATTTTGGAAAAGACATCTTTGCCAAGTGAACATGGAACTTTTCATMATTTTGAACACTGATAATGGTTTACAAGAAACACAGCTGTTTGAAATTCTCCAATGATTTTCCTAATCTTCTGCTTCATTAAATTTTAATGTTGAATACTRTTTATCAGATTACATTTGCAATGATTTTTAAAAAATCACAAGTAATTTCTCAGGTAGTATACCGAGGTTTTTGGCTTTTTTAAATGAAGTTCTTCTGTTGTTACCCATGAATTTGGTATTTTTAACCTTTTTTTTCTTTACTAATTATAATTTTCAAGGTGTACCAGGCTTTCCTAAAAGGTGTGGAATTTCATATTTATCTGTTTTCAAATTCTGTCTTATCCACTTTTTTCTTTTTAATTTCTAATAATAAACTTTCAGAAAATGTGATTCTTAAAAAAAAACCAAACCAAAAAATCACCCGTGACCCTGTTTATACCAGACTGAAAATTGAAATACATCCCAAACAGAGTATTGTTATATGCTGAAAACCTGTGGAACAGATCTGCAGAAGCCAGGCAATGAATATTCTGTGTGTGAAGTGCATGTCCATTTCTTTTCTTCCTTTTCAGGCTTACCCACTTTTTATTTTAGCTAATTGTTTCATGCTGATGTACCATACTTAATGAAAGCTTAGACTGTTTATACTGTGCAATTTCCCAATGTATTTGAAGAATARCATGTTTTATTTGCCTTTAAGATTTATTCCAGATAATGTTACATTTGATGATAAGCCAAAAGATGTAGCCTCAGAAGTGAACATAGCTGCTTATAAGCCAAAATACTTCACATCTGCTGCTATGGGAACATCAAAGGTATCTTTACAGTGTTTTTGTAATGTTTTTCTTATTTGTTTAGTTTTGCTGTCAGCTTATGAATGATATATGTACTGAGGAAAAGATTCCTGATTATCTCCACCATTTCAAAATAAGACATCAAACATATTAAAAGATTTAAGCATGTTACGGACCCACAAATTGCAACCCTGGTTTGGATTTTAAAAGATATTGGGCTTCTCTGTTTCAAATTAAGTGCTGGATTTTGGCCTCATTATATCTSTATGACAAGTTGCACACGAAATTACTTTATCATTTACAGTTAAATCTTTTAATTTGCCTAAAATGGATGTTAGTGTATAAATCAGTAAGAGCCTTTTCGGTGGTAGTGCCAGGATTCAACAGTTGCTTCCCTTCCTTGTAGCAACTCATTCCTACTCTGTCCCACTGACAGCCAAAATTTCCATCTGGCCATGAAGTGAACCAGATTGGAAAAGTGATCAGTTGAGAAATGAGTGCTTTCTGCTGGATCATTTTTCCTCAGATCTGTTTCACGTTCTGGTTGTGGGTGGAATTGCRCAAACACTTTCATTGTCCCCATTGCAATCTGTGTGTGATTCCAGCAGTGAATTGCTGCTGGAAGAGGAAAAGAGGGGTTGGTGACTGCTTCAGCACCAGTATCTGCTGCCACAAAGGAAGTTTGGCTTACAGAGGTTTTGTGCTGTGGGACCTGCTGTTACAGAACCATTCAGTGCATGAGAATCTTTTTTCAGTTTTTCTTGTAGCGCAAACTCAATGAAACTGACTGTAGAATAAATTGCAAAATGTTATAATTCAATYTATGTTRCTAAATGGTTATTATAGCAAGTTRTTGTAGGTTATTWTAGCAAGTTATTGTAGAGAGCATTACTAACAGGTTTATACTGTGTCTTAAATGGAAGGTATAAAATAATTTTGCCTAAAATGACAGTGTTACAATGTTTAGTTTTRGTGTTCCAGCTTTTACAACTGGCATTCTTATTTTCAAGGTAGATATCACATGGGATGAGACAGATCACGAACGAGTAACATCACTCAGCAGAACTTTTAACAAAGAGGAGCTTCTTGACATGGATTTTCAAGCATATTTGGCTTCATCAAGTGAAGAAGAGGAGGAAGAGCAGCAAGGTACTTTGGTAATAAATGTGGTACACAGTCATTAGCTGCAGGGTTTTGAACACAAGTTATTTAAATATTTAAATTTCATATCTATAGAAAATGATACCATGATGATATGAATGTCATCTTTTACAAGGACAATATTATATTTGTTGTATAATGACAGAGCACCTGAGCAGAATCACTAAAAGGTTCAGGCTGGAAGGGACCTTAAAGATCATCTAGCTSCAGCACCCTGCCTTGGRCAGGGACACCTTCCACTGGACTGCAGTAGCTGCTTTCTGAATAGGAGCTTGCACCTCTTGAGTGGAAAATAGTTCTTTGTGCTTTTTTATTTTTTCTCCTACCCCCTTTTTTCTTTTTACAGGGTGTCTTGACATCCCTTTGTCAAGGTTGGCAATATCTGCTTTTAATCTGTTCATTTCTGAGATAAATTATAGATCCATTGAATTTGAAGTGTTTCCTTTTCACAGGAAAAGTCCTAGCTTGAAWTGCAAGGGGGTTAATGACTAAATGAACAGGAACATCTTTCAAATGCTTTTTGATTCACATACTTCTAAAGAATATAAAGAGAATTTCATCTAACTTTGTAAGGTACATGAGTCTTCTGCATRTGGTGCACCAGCGTTTAAATTCCTGATTTCAATTGCTTGTTTTCAATCTAAAATTCATCCTGCWCTTAATAATAGATACAGCCTAAATTACAAGACAAATAAAATTTCATTGAGCTTTAATTAGATCTTTCAAAGAGACGTTAAAATTGATTTATACCRCAATAAAGCAGGTTGCTGCAATCAGAGATGAGCTTGGAGCGTGCAAAAGAACATAACAGATTTTTCTGGTTATAGAGTTGGGAAATCTTGTGGCAGAAAAATTAACTTGGCAATATCTTGGCAGGGATAATGGCCATTTGTTTCTCATCTTACATAAAAACTCACCAACTGCACCGTTGTGAGTTTTAGTTTCTCTAGCAATGCATAGTGAAGTCTCTAAAGGGGAGCAGGGATGCAGGGTGGAGCATTTCCATCTTCTATCATGTGCAAGGCTACCATGATGTTAAAGAAGAGCATCTGTGATAGGCTGGTGATGAAAGCAAATATCCATGTGAACAATGCTTCAGAAATTTTAAAGAGTAAAATTCCATTGCTGAGAGGGAAAAAAAAAAGACCTTGAGTCATCTTATCACACTAGTAARTTCTAAACCTGGAAATATCTAGATTCAAATGATGTTTTGAAAAGTAAGTTATTAATAGAGGAATTATGTTGTCATGTCTTTAATGTGTTCCTGACATTTTATCCATTCAGTTATGTGATACAAAACAGGATTCCATCTGTCAGGGTTCCATCCAGCAGAATTATGTGGTGCTATGCACAAATGGGAAAAATCAGTGTCAGCTGCTTGAATGGAAATGTAGGAGTCTGATAAGGAGGGAAAAAATGTCCTGGACTTTCATTCGTACTTTTCAAACTTACTAAAATGTTTTATTTATAAACGGGTTTTTGTTGGCCTGTTTTAATCAGTTTTTTTTTTAATGGAATTTTTCAGCTTAAAATATGTACATCATGAATGTTAGTATTACTRTTAAACAGCAGTTCTGTAACATCAAGGATTTCAGTGACCTGGAGTGTTGGGGTTCATAGCACAAAGTCTCTCCTTTCCATTGCTTCTGAATTTTCTGTTACTTGGGTACCTTTATCCCAGTTAGGAAGTGTTTGTGGCATTCATCAAATCCAGCCCATAACTGCTGTTTTGACAATGAGCACCAGTGACTTAGCRTATGGCATTTTAAATATGCTTTAAATTAAGCTTTATGGGGTTTATGTCTAAGCTTTTAATGTCTTTTTTTTTATCTTTGCAAGAACAACATCTTTTCTGCTGTTCTGCTTTGCACAGCACACAAATACTGAAACAGACTCTRTGATAAAATACTTTTATAGGTGTATTTTTGATTAGCTGGTCTTGATARTAGAATCATGGAATCATAGAATATGCTGAGTTGGAAGTGACTAGTTATTAAATCTTTTTTCAATTCTGAAACCTCTTTTGGTGCAATAACTTGTGGCTACATATATAAATTTAAATGCATGTATAACATTTTATTAGATAACAATAGAGCCTTTTTCTCTTAAAAATGAGCGGTGTCCACATGTGTTTATATTTGCTAGAGTTAATACAGAAGGCTGAGAAATGGAAGGGTACAGAAGCAAAACATGCAATTATTTGTTATWATCTCTGGAAAGAAGCAAGATAGGATTTAGCAGTTTATGAGTTGACCAGGCCTGGGTGGAATTTCATGGGAATTTCAGGATAGAAATACCACAACCTGATCATTTTTTTTCTGYGAAGCATCAGAAATTTGATACAACTGATGCAGGTGTTGGATACTTTTCCAAAGCRTGTTTGTAGGAACTGTTGGTTTGGGTTTGTTTTATAATTAAAGGTGCTTGAAGGTCCAGGAAGGGTCATCTTTGCATTCCTTCTAGGAAATTCATATAAGCTGTTGGAGGTGTCCATAACTTGGAGTTGAAAGAACACATCTTGTGATTTTACAGGCCAGTGAGTCCCAGAAATAACTAGGTTGGAAAAGACCTTGGAGATCAAGTCCAACCTATGACCTARCACCACCTTATCTCTCAGTGAAGAGCTTTTCCTGATGTCTGACCTAAACTTCCCCTGGTTGCAGCTTAAAGCTGTGTCCTCTCGTTGTGGCAGTGGTTGCCTGGAAGCAGAGCCTGACCCCTGCCTGACTGCAGCCYTCTATCCAGGAGTTCTAGGGAGTGATAGTCAGCCCTGAATCTCCTTTTCTCCAGGCCAAACAACCCCAGCTTCCTCAACTCTTTTTCATAGGRCTTGTGGTCCAGACCCTTCACCAGCCTTGTTGYCCTTCTCTGGACATGCTCCAGCATCTCAAAATCCTTYCCAAATTGGGAGGCCCAGAACTGGACACAGCACTCAAGGTGTGGCCTCACCAGTGCTGAGTACAGGGGAAGAATGACTTCCCCAGTCCTGCTGGCCACACTRTTGCTGGCACAGGCCAGGATGCCCCTGGCCTTCTCAGGACAGAYTCTGATTGTCAGAATGTTAACCTTGGCTTAGGTCTGGCTGGCTCTGAGTCCTGGCTCCAGTGATGTCCAGTGATCTCTGCACAGACAGGTGCTTAAAGGCTGCAGCAACAACACTCACCTGGTTTGCAAGGGGAGGTTTAAAATCTGCACCCAGCACACCCCGCGATGGTTAGACTACACAGACCTGAAAGAAAATGCAAAAAACCCACCATAATTTAATGTTTGCCATTCATTTGCTGTTATCTGTCTGCTCACATTCTCTTCTTCCAGTATATTTTGTTCCTGAAAAATACCTTAAAAAAATAAAAGCATCAACTCTGATAGGCTTTGAATAACTCCTTTTTGTATGCTAATTTTTTCCCTTTTTTATTATCATTGGGGTGAGCTAGTGGGATTTGCAAACTTTTTGTTCATGGAGTACTTAGAATATGGGCAAATGAGATTAAACCCCRTTTTCTTTCATTATTTTCTTGCTCAAGACTGAGGTCAACACATTTAATATCACATAATCTAGTTTTTATCATGCTGCAGTACAGTGTGGTAACCTCTAGCTCAGACTTGATTCTTGAACACTGGAGCATGAAGCTTTTTTGTTTTAATTCTGTGGATCTACATGCATTGTAGGTGGTTTGTGTTTTATTTTTTATCTATCTGAATTTGTATACCCTGGATAGAATTGAGACATATAGTGCAATTTTTGTTGTRTGGCCATCAGCATCCAAGTCAGTAGCTGAGTTTTCTGCTTTGCCATTACATCATGGAAAGAAAATTCCCCCTCATCTTTAAAAAAAATTCATCTTTGCAGCAGATCTCTTGTCAGATATTACATCTAGAACTTTTCTACTGTCTTTAGCATCTAAGGCTGAGGTTTTTTACAAAGAGGAATCATCTACTCAGCTACTGCAAGATAATCTTCCTAAACTAAGAACACAATCTCTTCACAGCCCTGTGATTACAAGATCTTAACTAACTCAGCTGCCAATCACCAATTTAATATATATATAGCCTCTATATTTGGTTATATTTTGTATTAATTTCATCTTTCAAAAATAAACATTTATATTTTTCAAAAATAAACATTTATTTCAAAAATAAACATGCCCTCACAAATTGGTGCATTGGAATATCTCTGACCAGCTTCACAATTTGAGCTTTCTTCTTTTCAAACCTTTTAGGAGTCCTATTAATACTTTCTTTAGAAAACAATAAGAATGTACTTGTATTTTATGCTCTAAATTTTATCAGCTTTTTTTTCCTACCCAGGTTGATTGTAGTTCTCGTGCAGTGCAGCTGTTAACGCCCCAGAACTTTTTAGTTTGTGTGTTTTGTTCTAAAAGCCTTTGAACAAGCTGTTGGCAGAAAGCTTTGCTGCCTTARTAACCATCAGAAAGTGGTTCCTGATGTTGTGCAATCCAGTGYGATACTTGAAAGCCACTGACAAGGTTATTTGAACTCTGAACAAACTTTKAGAACATACTCAGCTTACTTTCCTTTCTTGCTGCTGTTGTCAAATGGGCTTTATTTGCCTACAAAATTAAAAGCTCCTACAGTTCTTTTGAAGGTGATGTTGAACACTTGTTTTAAAACTGTTAGTTTTGACAGAAGAAATGCAAGTTTTATGTTAATGAGAAAGAATGACATTATGCATTGCCACTTAGATTTGTCCTAGCAAAAGCAGTGATGAATACAAACTGGTAGCCCTTTGCCTATCCAAGTTTTAGGGATCCTCTTTTAGCTTAAGGATTTCTTCAGTTCCCATCCAGTACAGCTTCTTGTGTCTTGGGACACCAGGAAGAGACAATCAAACGACTTCTTTTTCTGCTTGTCTTCAAAACAGAGCTGCCTTTTGCTTTCTGGATGAGCAGATGCTTCTCTCTTAGATCTCAGCTTCTGACGAGGAAAGTGGAAAAGCAGCTGCAGCTGACTGTCCCCATGTGCTGTGTGAAAGATGAGCYGGTGGGGAATGAGCCCAGCCTGGCTGAGCAGAGAGCTTTGGCTGGAACTTAGGAAAGAAAAGAGGGTTTATGAACTTTGGAAGAAGGTGCAAGCAATTCAGGGGGACTACAAGGGTGTTGTGAGGTTATACAGGGAGAAAATTRAAAGGGTCACAGCCAAGCAAGAACTTAACCTGCTTACTGCCATAAARGATACAAATTGTTTCTATAAATACATTAGCAATTAGAGGAGAGCTAAGGGCAATCTCCATCCTYCACTGGATACACAGAGAGGCACGGTGACAAAAGATGAGGAAAAGACTGCAGTACTTAATGCCTCCTTTACCTCAGTCTTTAATAGTAAGACCAGTTCTCTGGGTACCTAAACTGGGAGACAGGAACAGGGTACAGAAGGAAATCCCCATAATCCAAAGGGAAAAGGTCTGTGTCCTGCTACACCTCTTGGAGACATACTATACTGTGGGGCCAGATGGGATCCACCCAAGGGTACTGACACAGCTGGCAGATAGGATATGCTCACTTATCCACTTTCCATCATTTTTCAGCAGTCCTGGATAATCAGGGAGGTCCCAGTTGACTGGAATTTAGCAAATGTAATGCCCCTCTCCAGAAGGAAGGAAGAAAGAATCCCTCTTTCTATCTTGCTTCATTTGTTCATTCAGCAAGTCACTGAAGATTAAGGAATTGAGTAATTATCTCTTTTACAGAATCTTGTCAAAAAGTAGCATTTTATTTTCAAAATGCTTTACACCACTGGTTTTTGGGATTTTGGTACTACTCTGCTGGAAGGGACTCTGAAACTAATAATTTTAAAATACGGTAAAGGATGCTGTGTCTGACCATTGATTTCCTTTGCTGGACATATTTTCTTTTGCCTATTCAGATACTCTTTTTATTTCATCTAAATAAGGGAATTCTTAAACTGGTAACTCTGTGGGGTAGTAATAGATGAAAATATTTTATATTATCTTTTAGAACTAATGTATATGTTTTGGGCGTATTTCCTAAAGATTAACTTCTCTTGCACTCTTTCTTTAGACTCCCTGCAATAACTTTGCTCTCTTCTCCTAGGTGATGATATAACTAATGAAATGGAAGATGGCAAACCGAGGAAAAGYCAAAAAGATGATGAAGAGCAAATTGCCAAGTACAGAGAACTTTTGCAAAGTATCCAAGAWAAAGAGAAAAAACAGGAAGAAAAGAATATAGGAATGGAGATTAAGTGGGTTCCAGGTAAGTTTTGGTTATTTTTCTTTCCTGCCTTGGAGGATATGTAGTATTGGTCTGCTGATAGAGATATAGTGTAAGGTGCTGGATTTATAGTAGGAGAAACAAACCTTTTTTTTCCCATAAATTGAAATCCAGATTGTTTACAGTGAGGGAAATGGAAGAAATAGCATTACTGAACTCAGTTTCTCAGCTGTAAGTTTCTCTTTATAGATTATTTTTTCTYCAGGAATTTTTGTACTTGCTTTTTAAATTATCACTTTATAGACTTCTTTTAAAGTAGAATTCATGTGTTTGCCATAGAGTCGTAAAACATACTTACACTTTTAAAAATGAAAACCAGTATGATTTGGAAACATAGTGTATAATTAGAGGAGAGTGGTTTGGAAATGTTGCTTGCATAATGCTGAAGATTTGGGGGAGCAGAAAAGGGAGAAGTGTGACCTTCCAGTGAAACTGCTCTAGGAGAAACCAAGGTACTAGGAAAGATTGTGGAATAGTGACATCCAGATGGCCATCTGAAAATTACTGAAAGGTCAGTTCACCTTACAGCATCCCAGCAGAACTCATCCTGAAATCCAAAAACCAATGTCTAKTTTTTTTTTCCTTTATGACAAAAAGCCACTTGGACTGAATGCCTTCCCTGAGGTGTAATGAGCCAGTCTAACAGCTCACTATATCCACAAAGGGGAAGATTTTCAGTGTGGCATCACCTTGATGCTGACCCAGAGCTCATTCTGACTGCCTGTACCAGCCCTGGCAATTGGTAGGTCTCTYTACATGCTTAATTTTGTTTGCTAAAATAACAACTACTCTGGAAGAGAAAAAATCTGGATATTTTCCACTGAGTTGGCATGTCAGGCAGATGTTTAGAAGGTGAAATGGTGCGGCTCAAAGCCTAGGGAAGTATGCCATTCCTTTCTTGGGAGCAGCAAGGTGCAGCAGGTGTAGGACTGCAGCCTGTGTCAGGACACTGCCCTGATCTTTTCCTGTAAATAGCATGACCAGACACATACCAGAATCCAGCCCCTTCACTGCTGATGGGTTAATCCCAGCTAGGAATGCATATCTAATTATATGATTTACACTAATATTAACCTGAGTTCACTCAGGTAATTTCTGCTGAATACAAGTTCTGCTTAATTTGAAATACTATATTATTCTGTATTATTAATGTCTGTAGTAGAGCACTGAAATGGATGAAACTGAAAGAAACAATTTTATTCCTGGTTCTTTATAAGATCTGTATTCAAAAGGATACATGGGCATTAAAAATAGTTGTGTACTTTYARTGGTGCTTCTATAATTMCARCARTTTCTGACATGARTTCTCCCCAAACCTTTTTGAAAAGKCATGTRTCATGCYRCTCACTGACACAGTGTCGTACTCCCTCTGTCCACAGCGTGTCAGTGCTTGCATTCATGATGTTGCTCAGTTCTATGCATTCAAGGCCAAGGAGTTTTCATACATAGGTAGCTTTGTAAGTTTTCTGCAAAGATTTGTTGCTGCCATCTTTCAGATTGAAGATGGAAACTGCAGGTGAATCAGTTGCTAGGAGTGTGTTTTGTATTTGTACATATTTGTATTTGTATGTATTTACACGTTGTTAAAAGTGACCATTTTTTGTGTTGATTTTGCAAAATGCATTTGGGGTTTTCTTATTTGTTATGCATTTCTGTTTTTCCTTTTTCAAAGAATTTTGCGAATTGTCGGAAAGAAGTCCTGTAAATTAAAAGTCTAAGCAGTTTAATGTGGTAACATAGTTAGCAAACCATTCATTTTAGGAGATGGAAAATTGTTTTAAGGGAGACCAAAGGAAATTCTTTAGCCTTGCTTGCCCTGGGAGAGCAAGAAGCTAAGAGGCTSTCCTTAACACTGTACTTGCATGGTACAAGTAAATTGCATTAACATTTTGTAGAAATGGAGTATTAACTGTAGTAGAGGTGGAATCCAGTTCCCTAATGCATGGGTTCCCTGTTTCTTTGCAATGAAACTTGACTTTAGAAAATTGGATTTGTTCCATCCTTGCATCTTGTCCAACTCCTTCCTTACTTCAACCTTTCGTAGGATTCCTAGGACTTTGGCTGTCTTCATCACTTTTGGGGGAGGGATGGTAAAAAAACTCAAACCAACCAAACAAAAAACCCTCTATCCTGATAAATTTGACTGACTGTCTAAATTTAGCTGGATGTCCATGCATGGGATAAGGTTTGATCATATAATTTTGGGTGCAATGTGCAATGAGCCTATTTTCAAGTTCAAACTGCACAATGAAGTTTACATGGGTAGTTTATAGTATTGGATGTAAATTTAGCAACTGTGATTTGCAGAATCTGTTAACATTTCCTCATTTCTTACCCTGAAAAAGTGAGATAGTTATTGAAGAGCAATGGTTCTGGAAATCATAGAAATGTTCATTTGCCTTTGCTAGGGACTGTTCACGAAGGTCAGCAATGCCACTTCTGGCTTTTGACCCATGCAATATGGTTTTGTCCAAAACACAAATCCTAAAAGTGAAGAAGGGTGCCTTAACTTTGCTTTTGAGTCAAAAATTCAGCCATTACGGATTTCAGGCAGCATTTGGACAGGAGGTCTTGCACACCTGAAAGGGATACTCTTTTATATATGTTTTGTTTTTTTATATGGTGGAACATGAGCAGCACATGCTATAAGCACAGTAGCTTATARCTCTGGCAATATATACACACTTGAGACTGCTTCTGTATGGGAGGGAGGAGTGTCAGTTATGTTATTTTTCCTTGAACAAATGTGCTTATTTAAATTTCAAAACAATTTAATTATGTTCAGTTGGAGCATTCTGGGCATTCAAAAATAGTTTTTTGTTGCAATCTCTGATGACTCCTTAATTTTTTTCAGAACTAGTTTATGTGTGTTGAAATATTTTTGTTATCGAGTTCTGCCTTAATGTGCTTGACTTATTGCAAAATCTTTTTCCTGCCCAAATGTTTAATACATGGAAGAATTACAACAGTTAAATCTAGGAAGTTTTTCAATTGAAAGGCAGAGATTTGAATTAATTTAAAATTTTGAGTTTTGGCACAATTATTTACACATGGTTATAGAAAGCATACTTTATAAATGATTCAGTTATTCTTGAATCATAGTAGTTTTAAATAAACCACAGTGCCAGCAAAAATAAATTAGATGTAGTTCCAAGTCTCTCTGGTCTGTTTCTTCTAGGCACAAAATCAGTGTTATATTTAAGCATCCATCTGTTTTCTTAATCATGTCTGATTGAAGCAACAATTACTATGACTCCTTATCCAGCTCCCAAAGCTCCCCCTAGARAGTGAAAAGAGAGAAGACTGCAACTGCATTTCTTGATGACCTTCAGCCAGGTTTTTGAGGGGTGTTTTTGGACTCAATTTCTTTTTTTCTTTGGGGAGAATGAGATGTAAATATTTASGTAGGCTTAAAGAAGCATTTCGAATTTTCATCAGAAGTAGAATAGAGGGCTATGGTGTCTGTAAAGTGCACAGTAAAGCCTGAGTGCACAATTAGAGATTATGCAGAGCATATAGAAATGCTGGTATGGAATATAAATCTCCATCTGGATCATTGTTGGGTGTGTCTGAGTGGAGCAGCCTCACCTTCTGCAGCATGTGCTGAGCTGTGTGCAGGCKCACCCCTGACAGCTGCTGTGTGTGGTGGGTTCTCACAGGCACTTTTACTGCCTTAGGAAAACTCGGTTGACTTAGCAAATTTTATCTCTGCGGGTGACAAATTCTACTGTGAGGCAAGTATTTCTAATTGCTGATCCTTTTAGCTACCTGCAACAAGGTTTTTCTGTTTTCTGGTAAGGCATTACAGGCAAGATGGACTTGTTTAGATTTCCTGAGGACTGAAATGTATCTTTTTAGCCTCTAATAACAGTGACAGTTGCAGGCTGTTAAACATCCACAAGTTTTCAAAGCTGTTCTGAAAAGCAAAAATTCTGGCCTGCCCACCTCCCTCTCTGTCCYACCAGTGTGAGCAGCAGTGTATTTAGGTTTGTTGCAGTATTTATCACAGGTTTAATCTTTTAGCTGGAGTACGATTTTGTTGCATGCTAATACAGATGACCCTTTKACTCTCTTTTCTTGCCCTCATTTGTGAGGATTAAATAAAACTATTGTGATTCATTTATTCTGAAATAAATTATATCAATAAGGATATAAGTTRGCTTTTTCTATGGCCAGCTATGATTTCTACCTAAAGTAGGCTATTCCATTCCCCTTCTGCAATCAAAATCCTTTTGACCACTTAAATACGCTCTTATTCTCGGGAAGTGGTYTGGACAGTAGTTTCTAAGCCATTCTAATCTGTGGAGAAACTCTAATGCCTTTCATGAGACTGCCAAATACCACAAGAAAGGGCTGGATTTTCCTCCAAGTCCTTCAGTGCCAGATGGATCAAATGATTCCATTTTCCAGGCAAATAAATCAGAAATATTGTAACTTCCTTTCAGATTTTGGGTCTCGCTTTTGCTGGAGATGTGACATATATTTTTTTAATTCTGTGTTTGCTATCTTCAAAGAGAATCTGCAAGATCGTTACCTGACCAGTAATTTTTTCCATAAAAGTACTACAAAACAGTATCCAAAGTTTTTGTGGTTCAGTTTCAAGGAAGCTGATAGCTCTGCTTTCATGAACTTTGAAGATAACTAAGTATTTGTTCATGTTGTATGAGAGTTTCTTAATGGCATGTTTTTAGTGAACCTATGCAAAATCCTTCCTTTATTGTAGCTCTGATTTGTTTGCTGGTTAAGTAACTGGTTTTTGTGGCTGTAGCAGTTCACCACTTACCRTTCATTTGGGCACCTTTCCAGATTAGTAGAAGAATCCTTTATCTTGCTTTTGCTCCACTCTTTTCCTCCTATGATTCTATGGTTTATTGTGATTTTAGATCTTGTCCACACTTCGTATTTCAGGCAAGTTGTAACCATCTCCCCAGCCTTGGGATTATTTTTGGAGTGTTAACAAGCTCAAAAACTGGGATTAATGTTTGCAGTTTTTCAGAGGAATGTTCTGCCTGCTCCTCTTTGGGGCTGGATTGAGCTGTCCATGAAAGCTGCCCATTTCTTCCATCATGATCACTGATTTCAGTTCCTCCATACTGAGGAGAGCTGGAAGGAATGATGAGGAACAGGGACCTAGCAACTGAGAAATCTGGAAGAAGGAATGGGATCTAGTCTAGGATATCTGGAGAGGCCTGAGTGTGATTTGTAAGCAATGAAACTGGAATGAGGCTTGGGAGAGTAAAATATGGTCAGGTCAGGGCTGAACTTGGGTGGCAGAAGGGAATGCTGAAGAGAGACCACTGGAAGTAGGATTGGAGAAGAGACAAGAAATACCAGATTTGGAGGGCGAAGCAGAAACCTGGTTCCTACAAACTCCCAAGCTATTTCAGTTGTTTCATAGGAGACAATGTTACCTATAGGGTACCTGACTGATTTTTTCAGAAGTTGGAAAGAGARTGTGTAGTGAATGAAGCAAGGAATTGCAGGTAGAAGAAATACTTCATTRCCCAGGCTATTACCTCCTACCAGGGAAATGGATTCTGTTTCTGCCACTGAATTGTGCCTGGGTGCATTAATCTCCTTAGGTCATGAAATTTCGTTTTTGCAAGTGCCCATCTCATGAAGAAGGGGCCAAAAGTATAAGCTGCATCTGAAATCAGTATTCATCCTCATAACATCRAAGTGGTGTGATGAATTTTGGAAAATATTCCTGTGCATATAGGACTTTTTACCAAAATTAGAAGATTGCTTTTAAATGAAGTGCTTATTCTGGATTTAAATATTCTTCATGTAAAATGGCAATGCTCCRGTCATTTAATGGATTTCTTTTTAAGGTGATGTTCTTACACCACTGACTACTGTAATGATGCATATTGTAGAAAACAGCATTCTGTTCTATTTACAAAAAGCTTAAATTAAAGGTTAGAACACTTGTCTGTATATGCAGCTCCAAGTGCTGGGCATTGAAAGAGTGAGGGTCTATGCTAAATTACAAAATTTAATGTAAACCTAATTAACATATCCAGATTTAACTGTCTGATCCTGCTAGGCCAGRATTATTTAGAGCCAGACATGTTGCACTTCAACAAAGTCTGCTTTTCTAGAATGAAAAGTACAGTGGTCAGCAGAGATCCTGCAGCATTGTCTGAGTATTGTCACAGAGGCAAAGTTTTAGCAACTTAACGAATTCAGAATGTCAACTAATGATAGTGTGTTCCATTAAACATAAGGACTCTGTGTATGTTGGTTTTATTGTGTTCCTCACTCTGCCATCTGTAGACTGCAGAATGTCTGGAGAAGAGATATCTCTGAGGAACAGCAGGAGTGGTGGGAATCAGATACCACATAGCAAGCTCTTCTTCTGACTCTTGAACAGTTTTTACTGAAGGAATGTTTTATTTGGAAAAACTCATCCTGTAAAGTGATCTTCTTTATAAGGATGGGTTTTTAAGCAATATTTATGTTGTTTTCACAGACTTGTTGAAGTAAACCTAGATTGTTCTTTTACAAAGGAGAAAACAGTTGATTAAAAAAAAATTCAGTCATCACATTTTTTAAAATTTACCATGGCTTTTTTTTTCTAGGCCTCAAAGAAACTGCTGAAGAAATGGTCAAAAACAAGTTGGAAGGAAAGGATAACCTGACTCCATGGCAAAAATATCTGGAGAAGAAGAAAGAAAAAAGAATTCTTAAGAAAAAGAGAAAGGTAATGTTTATATTGGCCATTTGAGGGGGAGTTGTTGTTTGTTTTCTTAATTCTTGTTACTGTTTGTTTCAGATAAATGAAATAAAAAGTTGCACAGCTGCCAGAGTTATTTTAAGGTTAGAATGTGCAGTTGTCACTCCTGTGGAAGTACTGAGAGTACTTCATCAAACCTACTTCATCAAACCTACAGGATATTGCTGATATTCAGGATATGCTTACACAAAAAATCTTTTATCTACTTGTGCTACTTTAAAGATAAATTAGTCATAATAAGAGTTGGCTTTAATTTGCATTTTTAATGCATTAGAATGGGTCTTTTTGCTCATGTGTGCATATCAGTTCAAAGTTGTTATGACAATAATAATTGTTGTTTTGGGAATGTTAGGGCTAAAATAATACAGACTTGTTTCCCAAAGCAATAATGGCAAAGAATTAATAGCTACAAAGAAATATTCAAATTTCAAATTGCAAGAGGGGGAAAAAAAAAGCATGTGGCATGCAGAATCTAGGTTCTCTAAACTCTTAAATTACTCTGAATATAATTCACATCAGAACTACATTTCTAAGAGCAAACACTACACCATGAGTTGCTCTGTGTATGTCAGTCAATTTTAAGTAGCACTTGATGAGTAACTTCTTTAATCTCCTGAGTGCTCCAAATGAGTAAGTAGCACTGTTAGGTAGCAGAGCAACTTTGTCTGGCATAATATTCTTGTCTAGTCTTATGAATGAAGTCAGGGAGCAAGGTGTATGACACAGAGCTACCAGTAAGGAAATTTGTTCTTTTAAATCCATACTCTCTTTCTGAGACCTGCACCACAACATGAAGTTCTTTACTCAGGTTTGTCCCCAAGCAGAGCTTTTGTGCAACATAAAGTAAGGACGTAGCAGTGCTGTGATCATGTAATTTGTTGGCACAGTTGTCTGGCCCATCATAGCTGGGGATATATCTAATAAAAAACTTCAAATGTGTGAAAGAGGGTTTAAATTGTTGATTTGTCTTTACTATCAATTTTTAGTATACTCTAGTTTTTATGATGTTCCACATACAGTATTTGAGTTTTCATCTTCATAGCTACTAACAGAACATTTAATTCCAGGGAAACTTAAGTAGTAATTGTATGTTGATTGAAATAATGTTCGTGCTTTGTTAAGGCTACTGCTGAGAGAGAAGAGAGTGAAGATGAACTTCCACCTGATGTTGATCTCAATGACCCATATTTTGCTGAAGAATTCGAGAAAACAGGTCAGTCAAGACAGGTGACTTCTGGAGTAAATGTGCCCTTTCATTAAATACTGAGCTTTCAAAACAAAATCAGGATGGAGGAAAGTCAGGGACAGAATGTTCAGAATTAAATGCAGTAGGTGYCATTTGTCTGAAATTGCTGTTCCTTTAAAATTACACCTACTGTGATATGTGCAATGGTAGGGAATATTCCCTTGGCTTTCACCAGAGACTGTTAGCTGTCCAGTTTCTGGGGATGGCTGTTAAAAACAAGCCACTCTCCTAAGTATTCCAGAGAAAAGAACTCCGTTGCTTTTGAAGTCTTTTTATTTTTATATAGGAAGATATATATATAGTTCCCTTTGAAGCTTGGGTCAATTATAACAACAGCAAATGTTTTTGCATCATGAACAAAGTTGTCTTTCAAAAGAAATCAGTCTGATACACATTTTTACTGGTGTACTCTAGGCTGCTTAGAAACCTGAATAGTGAAATGTAGTATTTCTAATAGTATTAGAAAATAACCTGCCCGGTTTAGATTTTTAGGATATCTTTTTTACAAGCTTTTTGTTCTGATGTTTAAATTAGCTTTTGCCATGGTAACAGCAAATTTATTTTGAGTGTGATTTTGCTGAGTAAAATCAATTTAAAAAGGGGTAGGTTTCTGACATTCCATACTTTTGAGAGCCAGATCCTAAGGGTGGCTCATACTACTCTAAGTTAAAAGAAGAAAAATGACATAAAAACAAGAAGCAAACAAGAAACAAAGCAGAAAAAACAAACAGAAAGAAGATAGCAAGAGGTTTACTAATATTGCCCATCTGGTTAGTTGGAGGTTTTTTGACCATAGCAGTGCACATCCAAGTTCCATTTTAAAATGGTACTTTACTTTTGATTTGATGCCTGCCAGCACGGGCTTCTCTCCTGATTGTTTAAAATCTATTTTAAAAAATAGATTAAAAAATAATTAAAACCCAAAATCTGGATGATTTTGTGCTTATATATGTGTCTAAATAGTCTGAAATACAGAACAATAGGGTGAGGCCTGTCCATGTTTTAGAAAAAAAGCACCACAATCCAAAGTGTCATGCTGTGCTGTTCTCTGCCATGCTTTCATGGTGGCTTGTGTATAGGTTGGAATAACTCATTGTAAAGATACCATTCCTTTCATTAAATTGTTTAATTTTTCTTTAACAGTAAGATTACCTAGGTACTCTCCAATGATGTATGATATTCTCTGTGGAATCTCTGAAAAAATGTTTTCTTCTGCCTTATGTGAGAAGTTCTTCATGTCATAGAGGGGTTCAGCAGAGAATGAGCTTATCTGCACATTCTTAAACTTTGTCCATAATAGGGAGAGTAGACTTCAATGTTTGTGGAGTCTTTGAGGATAGTAAAATACACATAAAGGTTAAGAAAGTGAAGCTTTTGTCTTCAAGATTACTGATAATTACTGTGATACAGGAGAAAACAGGAATGTGGTTAGCCCTGGAGAAGGTCTAAAAGGGAGAGTATGGTGGTTGGCTGCAAGCCAGTTTACATTTTCATGGTAATTACACAGCACAACTTTGGCTTTCACCAAGTTTACCCATAACAGCCTCTGTCTCACAGTTGGGGTTGCTTTCAAGCACAATTTATCCAGTGAGGGAAAATGGGTTACAATCATCTTTGAACTTGGCTGTAATTCTGCCARCTTTGTATTTAGGGTACAGGCAACTTAAATGACCATCATTTTTCTCAAGCCTTCCAAAATTCCCCTGAAAGATTTGAAATTTCTCCCTTAAACTGACTGTCAAATYATTTTAGATTATGCTGAAAAAGCATATGACAGAGTTTATTTTCAGACTCATGTGGACCAGTGCAGAAACTGAGGATGCAGTAGTGCTGGATTCATTTTGGCTGTAACATGCATGGGTCTTGTGTAGCTTGGTTTCTGTTAAGCTGAGGCARTTGAAGGGAAGCAAGAGTGCAAGGAGCTGTTAGTCCAAGGGTGTAAGAACTCTTAAGTGCTGTGAAAATTATGGCAAGTCTACTCAAGCGTATGTTCCTCAGGTATGTCTTTATTCTTGATAACTGTTTGTAAARCAGGCAGTGATTTTCACGCTGTGGATGCTTCACCATAGGAGAGGCAAGGTAGAACAAATTCTTTGTGCCTGCTGTGCCCAAAAGCTGTCTGTGTGGGATTCATGATATAGGACTTGCTATGCATGGAGTTTTCATATGGCTTTTTAATAATACCATGGGTTAAAATGTCAGATGCTGCAGCTATATGAGCCTTGATGTTGCATTCTAGAAGCTTGACTCTATTTTCATATTGTCAAGAAAAGAATAATTTGTCACTTCTATTTTACATTAATGCCCATATTGTTTCAAAAAGCCTTGTAAAACTTGAATTTGGCTTGGCCAGTTTCACTGTTTTTGCATCAGCTTCTGTGGGACSACAGAAAAGAGAGACAGAATGACTCTTGTAGCCTAAACTGTTGAAAAATTAATAGCTGAAGTAATTGCTTATTGACATGAGAGCAAGGTCCTGCTTTTGGAGATCACTGAACAGTTTCAGAGCACCTTAGATTATTAAATGTAGTTTCTGTTGAGCCTTTGAGGGAAAGGTCTTCACACATTATCATAATTCCTATTAGTTGCAAAGCATTAGATGCCCTCTCATGATCTAATTTATGATATGTGTAGGAAGGGATGGCTTTGCAAAGTTGGAAGGGAGCAGTATGAGTGCAAAGACATAAGAGCTTAACAACAAATCTGAGCATAGTTGTGGAACCTGTATTTGGAAGATAAAGTAGATTAAAAGATTCATTTACTCTGTGTCTTTACAAAGCTTTTGAGGCTGACTCAAGTTTCTGACTAAGGGAGATAAGAGGTCTTGTGAGAGGAATTTCTGATTTGGGGTCAGTTTCTGTGTCTGAATTCTCAAGTTATGATTAGCTTTTACTGTCAGCACTGGAAAGTTGTTGATGTGCAAATTGAATGCTGCAAACAAAATTTTTGAGCTGAGAAAGAGCTGAATGGCAGCTTCAGCAGGGATTACAGCAAAAACTAGAKGCTTTTTATAATGTGTGGTTGCAGTTACTGATTAGTTCTGTAACACTGAGGTATCTGCAGTTATAGGTAGGACAAATCTGATTGAAAGATGGCAGTGGGGATGAGGTGCTAGGAAGAATCTGAGGGTTTGGAATCAGTTTGGCATAAGTGTGCAAGGAGTGTGTGTGTGGTGGGGCTTCTGGAATGTGTGTGGGAAGTGGGACTGTGGCAGAAGTGTGTTAAAATACAGAAAATGATGCGTTTGTGAATTTTGAAACAGAACCATTTTCAGTATGATACAAACTTTTGGGTCCTAAGAGTATTTTAGGTCTTGAGCTGATTTTACTACCTGCATAGTGTCAAAGTAAGAAATAAAGGTTTCATTAATTTATTTATTTTCATTGAGAAGAGTTCAGTTTGATACCAACTCCTGGTTCTGCCCCAACTGCAGCCACAGAAAACTTAGAAGGCAGAAGGATCACTTCAGTGATTCCCCATATAGTGAAAAATTAGGGAATGGGATATGAGGGATTTTTCTTTGGGGGATGTTGGAAAGACAAAGAAATGTACTGATCTAACTTCTCATATAATTGTCTGCAGTTGTATCTCTCTGCCTTATTTTCTTTTCTGTGGTTTAGCCACATCTGTAAGATAGAAAAGATTCCATAGTTGTTGGAGTCTTACAGAAAACATTGATTTCTCCCTTCTTCACATTAACTTAAAATGTGTAGTTTAGATAATAATATTATTTCTGAGTGTGATTTTCCTGCACATTTTTTTTAATTACTTAATCAATAGTTTCGGTTTTGAGCTGATGACGTTGCACATCTGGATAGTTTATTTTTTGGTGGTGGTTGTTTGTTTCTTCTGGAAATCCATTTCCAGTTTGGAATCCATGTAGAAATAGTCAAGGGAATAGTCAAAGCAGAAAAAGATCTTCTTCAAGAAATATATCCTGTTCCAGAGTATCCTTAGTGATATAAGTTGACATGTGTCTGGCATGTCTGTATTTCTAGTCTGAGTACAAACCTGGTTTAACAAAACGAAGTCAAATATCTTCCTTAAGAGTACCCCCAGTGGACTGCTGTAAAATGCCTGGGAATGTAATTCCAAGCTCAAAGGTCAGAGTGTGTGGTTCAGGTCAGGAAACCTTCTGCTTTTCCTGCATCTTCTTGATCWAGAGCTACAGGCATTCCAAAGAGAGTAACTTGATTTTGTGGGATTTWTAAACAGGTCTGTTTTCATCAGAAGTGATGTTTGACTAATGTCTTATGCTGTCACTGTTTATTATGTCTTTCTAATCAGCACTGTGTTGATGCTGAGGGAGTGGGGGAGCTTCCTCAGAGCAATACTCAGTCTGAGCAGAGTCAATCATATTTTAATTCCTCCTATAAAACACCCAAGAGTGGTGTGATGTTATGTGTTTGCCTGCACCGTTGTGATACTTCTCTCTACTGCTCTATGAAAAATAGAGTAAAACTATGGTTTTGACTTGTTTATACCATTTGGATGCTGCTGCCTCCTTAAACTGAATGAGTATTTAGTGGATTTTTATTGCTTWAAGTCTACTTGGTTTTTCTTTGCAGCCTGGTTCCATATCTGACATCTAAATACTGACTGCAAGAAAATGAAATGTATTTAGAGGTTCTAGCTGTARGTAAATTAYGCCCTCATGCATAATCTTGTATAARTGTGTTCATGCCCTGTATTTGCACTTAGGTTTAAAGAAGAAGCCAGAATCAATGGAAAGTACCTCAGAAGATGAAGATGAAGTTGAAAAACAGAAGGTAAAATGATGTAAAATGTTGCATTGCATAAACTCTGCAAATATTTGGTATGTATTTGTGAGTGCAAAATTTCACAGGATGGCAATAGAATAAAACTATACAGTTTTAATAGTGAGAGCTTTCGAAAAAAAAAAAAAACTACCCAAAAAGAAGTTTGTGTGTTGGGCAATGCTGGAGTTTTAGCTTTTAATATCAGTATTGTATGAAAGATTTCAGTTCAAACCTTGTYCTGTATAGTATTAGTTATTTTTAAGTTGTGGTGTACAATTTTCAGATGAGACTATTACTGTGTTTGAAAATTGAATGTGGTATTTGCATTTATTTTATATCTAATAAGAAGGAAATCAACTTGTATTAATACTATACCTCAAAACATTAAAAGAATGTTGTTACGGGTGAAACAGTGCTCCCCTGATGCCCCTATTTCAACTAGTTTATATAAATGTAGACTCATACAGGCTTTATTAATGAGATGCTGGATTTTTTCATAGAAAACTTTCATTGTGTRCATGGATTTTCTTATTTTGTAACAGGCTGAAATGGCCCTACTGATGATGGATGATGAAGAAGAYGGCAGAAAACATTTTAATTATAAAAAGATTGTAGAACAACAGAATCTGAGCAAGAAGAAAAAGAAACTTCTTATGAAAAAGAAAGAATTACTAGAAGATGACTTCCAGGTAATTGTGTATTCCTTGATTTTCTGACTAAAGCAGTTCCAGGAATCTCATGGGCTGTGACTTCTGAAGCAGCTCATACTTTATTTGGCTTAAAAGCTTTGCTGTCATGGGAAAAGGTTACCTAAAATGAATGCTTCTTTTCTCCCTTCAGGTAAATGTTGCTGACACAAGATTCCAAGCCATGTTTACTTCTCCCCTGTTTAATTTGGATCCTTCAGATCCAAATTTCAAGAAGACAAAAGCAGTAGAAAAGATCCTGGAAGAGAAAGCTCGCCGAAGAGARGAAAAGGAGCAAGATCTTAAGGAGGCCAACAAGGGCCTGGAGAACAAGATGGCAAAGAAAGGAGAGGTTGCTAAGAAAGCCATAGATCCTGCCTTATCAATGCTAATAAAGTCTGTCAAAAATAAAACTGAAGAGTTTCAGGCGAGGAAAAAGCAGAAATTCAAATAACTGAACTTTGTTTTTATCCGGACTTTATTTCAGTCTCAGCTCTTTAAACTGGAGACATCTGTCAAAGTTACTGCAGCCTGCTCTGATTCCTATCCACCTAAAATGTTCTGAAAAATCACTTCACTGTGGTGGTAATGTTTGAAATATTTAGAGTAATAATCACTCTTCTGACACAACAAATACTGGTTTGTACTACYGTTGAAAAGCTACATCTTGCAAACACACATATAAGGAAATGGTGGTTCTGGGGTGGTTTGTGTCATGTCATCTCTTAAAAATAATAGAAGTGCTGAAGCTGACTACAAAAATCATAATTACAGATTTATTTATAAATAATAAAAACACTTCTGCAGAGGTTTATTGTTGAGAGTAAGTGGTCTTGAAGTTTTTAATTCCACAGAAGTCTGTTAAACACACCTGTCTTGATAAAGAAGTTAATAATGTAACTACAAATTGAAGAAATTTTGTACACAAGTTTTTTGTAGGTTTTTAAAAGATTGCATAAATGCTTTATTAATTTCTCCTTTAAATACTTGAAGGTAATAGGACTAAATTATGGAAATATTATCATTTAGAAGTGTTTCATTAACATACATTGGAAATAAATGGTTTAAATAGGCCCAGAGGAATTTTGGGCACTAGTTGTGGTTTTTTTTCATCCATGCCTAAATGAAATTATGTCAAAATTTAACTTTTTGCTCTTGTTATTACCTTTCCAGTAATATAGTTATACAAAGTCTTCCAGCTTTGCAAGTGATTAAAAAAAAAGAGGGGAAAGATAAAAAAGGCAGATCTAGATAACACAATTTTAGAAAGTGTGTTGTTTGGCCATGTTGGTATTGGTGGTGAAGCTATGAAAGGTCCAGGGAGAATACAGAAAGCAGAAAATGATCACTCTTCCCTGAAGTGTGGCTACTGATTTGTCTTAAGGTTTGATGTATGTTGGGGTGTTGGGATTTTTTAAAGGTTTGCAGTATGAGCTCAAATGGAAATAYGACATTGCATTTAAAAACCCAAACTTTAGAAACAAATACCTAAAAGGTAATTTTCTCTTTTAAAGACATATTTTTTCATTTTTAAGATGTAAACAAAGACTTCTATGAAAACAGAGATTAAAAATAATCAAAGCTAGTGTTTATATCAAGTGAGTGTATCTCAGTATGTGAAGGGGATTAGAGAGCTGGATTAGCACATGGGAGGCTGTTGAGTGGCCAAAATGGCCAAAGGTATTAAGAAACATAATATGCAAATACTGGTGGAGATGGATTTTACTAGAGTGCTTTGCAATGACATGCCTGTGGAATACTTGTAGACGTCAAATGTTTTAAATGTTAATTACTCTTCATAAACATTTGAACATCTTCAGATTCCCTTTGTTTTACTACTGGGTCCATAGACAGTCTCCCATAACTTTGTGTAGTAATTTGTATGGAAAACACATTTGTTGGGGAATGAAAGGCAACCACAAACTGCACTGTCTCTTGAATCCTCTAACCCTGCTGAGTTCTACCCAACACTTCTGTGTTATCAGTGCTTTTCTTTTTGGCTTGGTGCTTTTATAACTTCACTGGAAGTCAATGTGGAATTGGTAGATCTCTGCTCCTCTGGAGTGCCCAGATATGCTGGGTGACTCACTGGTACAAAACTCTCCAACAGAACTTCCCTACTCCTGCAATGCCTCTGCCCCTGACACTATGTTTGCTGGAGGAGTAATTTGCAAAATCTGATTATAGAACTAAAAACTCACTAATTGTGAGGACTTCTGAAATTAGATGGTATAAATTATGTTGTGTCATCACAGTACATGTGCTGGCTACTTTGTCCAGTTAGGAAGCCTGGCCTCTACTTGGAAGTCATAGCAAGACAAAATGTACAGAAAGATAAAGGCAGACTTCACAGTGATTTTAATTATTGGTTGAAATAATTCTTTTGTATTATGGTAATGTGTATTGGGTATCCTGTATATGCTCAATGTGTGATTATTTTATCTAATCAGATGATTTTGTTGCTGGTTTTGTTCTCAAGTTCTCCCCTCACCGAGTGCTGAGGGGGCATCTTGGTTGGGAAGAACTGGAGAACTTCAGGGTCTGTCCTAGCATGCATCTTAGATGGGAATTTTTTTGTTAATAAAATTATTAGCTCTAAATCATCTTTTTCCCTTAAAAAAGGAAGTTTTAATTGCTAATTAGTAATTATTAAAATCCCATCATCTAATCTCCATGACTCCAGATTAATATGAACAAAAACCTACGTGCTTTCTGTGTCTTCAGCAGAGGCATATCTTGAAAGCAGCCAGAATTCCCTGCAATCCATATCCCTTGGTGTAAACAAAACAAATTATGGTTTTGCCCATCTCTTGTAAACATGAAAATAGGATCTAGAAGTTCCAGCTCTGAACTTCAAAATATTATTTTACATTTCACTTTCACTAGGTGTCATGTAACCAGCAAAAGTGATGGCAATGAAGTAAAATAATACATTAAAACCCAGGACTGTTAAAAGTGAGACAGAACTAATTTTTCTAGCAACTTATGGAGGTCTGTTATAAAGTAATTTGTCTCCAAGTTGGCAGCCAGCAGAGTTCGTGTTGAATGTAAGCCAGGCCTTTAAAGCTCTAATACAAGTGGAAATCACAAGAGGGTTTGATTTATTTAAAAACTGAGAAAGATCAGACAACAAGAGATGAAGAGCCATGTATGTTTTCAATCATTCCTTCTGTGTAAAAATTAAATGTATTATTTCCAATTAATAGCAAGTTGGCTTTYTATTCTTTTCATATTTTGATAGTATCCAAAAATAACAGTAAGTTGTGCCATCACATACTTTTTTAGCAAACAAAGCAAACAACCAAAATACTGAGGGTTTTCTAAAGGCCTTAGAAACTTATGTTATATTTATCTATATTTAAAAGTACTAGAGTAATTTGTTTGCTCTGCATTTGTCTTAAATCATGTTAAATGCSTCAGTCCAGTTTTGCAGCTGTGATTAGAAAAACAATGCTGGTACTTCTGATGGCACAGTAACTTYCATTAATTCCTAGAATACTTTCAAGAACTGTAACATTCTTAATGTAGAAATGGACCTTTTCACGTAGAGGACTATGTTACTGCATTCCTATAAGAAGCTAGACAAAGTGGCAGAAAGGTCTATTTGGAAGTTTCCTGTCCTTAAAATTATAAATGAGAGTATTTTTGTCTGGATTCTGGATCCAGTCTAGATGAATGTCACCTAAGGTCATCATTATTTTCTATCCCTCTCATCACTAACAAATGAGTAATCCCTGCTCAGGACAGTTCCAGCTCTGTATTTCAGCTATGCAACACTTGAGTTTTAAACAATATTGCTTGTAGCCTCCAGTGAATCCAACATCAAACTTTGCTCATCTCCCATCCTCAGAGACACCCAATCCAACGGTTGATTGCCGCATTTTCATGGACAAATGCTCCTGGATTGCATCCCATGAGCTCCTTGACACTGCACAATATCCTTGGCAGTGCACTGAAATCCTGCCCAGTGCACTTAGACCGTTCTTGTTTTGTATTTTTGGGACAAGGAAGGAAGGAAAGGACAACTGATGCAGATGGGGTTTGGAGTTACTTTGGATGGAAGGATCAAAGATGGGCATTGTAAATGCAGACAGAAACGCTGCCCAGTGCATTCAGCAACGTGTGTGACTGAATGGCTGCTCAAAGGGACTGGCACTTTGTCCGTGGAGAATGTGAGTGAACAGAATGGTTACCAAAAGGACTATGAATAGCAAAGGGACTGGTTTAGGGTGGCTCTGATTGCTGCAGGTGATGAAGAGTTAAAATCAGTTCTGTGCAATGCAAAACCCTCAAGCAGAGGCTGCTTCCCTTCCTCATTGCTCTATCTGCTTTTCACCTTAGGTTAATGCCTGGGCATTCCAAGACGGAGTAGGTACATGAGCTGCCCCCAGGATGGATGCCTTGGGTTTTGCAGGATTTAGGAACAGGTTGGTCCTTTTCCTTAGATGAAGAAACGAGTGAGCAGCATCAGTGGGGAGAGAACCTCAGATGTGCAGTGATGAGCAGTGTCTCTGGTGTTGGCCAAGAGCTGAAAGGTGTCCTTGCAGTTAGATGGTGGAAAGAAGGTCCATAATTCCTGAACCAACCAGAAGTTAGATATTTTTTTTCACATAATTCTCATTTGGTGAATTTTGGAGCTCCCTATGAGGAAACTACAAGTGCCTAGGAACCAAAACCATGTCAGAGTGAAAATCAAGCATGTGAATACATGTGAAATCAGCTCTGGCATTTGTTGYAGTTAACTAAACAGATGCTTTTCTTTAAGGTCTAATCTGGCATGAAAATACCATGCTAAGGGAAGCAGTCCTCATTATTCTGTATTTTGGTGTCCAAGTGCTCAACTTTGCAAAATAACTGTTTTGTTAGCAGGGTATTAATTTTCATTTCTTTTAATGAAATAAAGGCCACAACCTTTATTCTCCACAGAAACTCATCTGTGTCACAGATGGATCATCACCTCAATCCAGAAGAGGAGACTGGGCACTTCAGTGAGCATCCCAAGTGTTAGCAGGGAACAATTCTGTGCTCTGTATGCCCTTTGTGGAGTAATAGAAATGCTGCACAGGGGGGTGGCCAGACAGCTACTTGCAACTCTCATAGCAAAATCAAAACTKGTATAGCAGACCACACTAAAAAGGAATTTAAATCTACCACTTATGTGCTTTTCTTAAGAGGCCCAAAATTTACCTTTGAAAAACACAAGCAAGTTACCTTGGTAAATAAAGATAGTTTTGTCACAGAATAGCYACCTTGTTTTTCTGTTAGTTACATTTTTTGGAAGACAGAAGGTACAAAATACAGAAAAAGGGTAACAGTAATGAATTTAGTTATGTATAAAGAGATGTAGTTTAAAAAGGCAAATTCTGTCCTTAGATAAACTTGCATTGATTTTTGTACTGACCTCAACTTCCCCAAAATGTGAATTTACTGATAGAACTCATGAGCTTTTCTGAGGGATGAGAATGAATATTTTTTTCCTCATTTTGTATCTTGAAGGTCAGAATTTCCTCAGTAAGAGTATGATCCTAATTATTCTTAAATTATAGTGAACTTAGGAATTCTCAAGTCTCTCTGTTGCAATAGGATCAGTACCACGGAATTTGAAGAGTAAGATGTTGTGAAGACTGCCCTGCTGAAATTGTACCATACCCTGAGTGCCATAAACCAGCTCTGGTTTGGACTAAATCATTAGGCATTAAAAGCTGCAGAAAGCAACCACGCAGGTCAAAATCTGTTACAATTATGAGGTGATTCAACCTGCAGGGATAGCCTCKTTCAGGAGTTACTTAGTCACCAACTTGACCTGTTTTGCCAAAATACGTTTTTTTAAATGGTCACATTTAAACATTCACCATGCTTTGTGGGCATGAAGAAAAATGTTCTGAGACTCTGAAAACCACTTTTGTGCGAGTCTTGGCTTCCTGATTTCCTGTAGCTGCCACTGGGAGATGACTGTTCTACCTACTGCAGTGGCCAGTATGTACCCAGTGTGCAATTAACTCACTTTTCAAGGAATAAAGACAAAACCTTGCAGGGATTTACTGCTTGTGGTTATTTTGGCAACAAGAGATGAATGCATATTTGAAGTTGCCTTTCTCAAAAGTCCCATGTCTTATGATTTGCCCCCCCTGAAATGCTGGCTGACAGATTGCAATCACACCAAGTTAGAACTTTCTGAGCTGCAATGGAATGAGCATTGGAAATAATCGTGTGTGGGTGTTGAGCAGCCGGGAGTATGTGGAATGCTAAAGAGACAGGTCCAGGATRCTAGAGTATTTTCCTCATCTGAAGTAGCTCATTATCTGGAAAAAACATTATTTTACTGGCTGGAAGTCAAAGAAGGGGCCTCTTCATATGGAGAGGAAACAACAAGCATGCCTGGAGAAGATTGCAGGCTTATTTATGCTACCTGCAAAGATCAGCCAGTCTTTCAGGGGGATTGATGATGTGGTGTTTGAGTGGATTGATTCCAGCCTTCAGTTGGTATTCTCCTCTTGCATGCAATCATTMAGATAACAGTTCCTGTTTGTATT